ATTCTCCTAAATCTAATATTACATGTGCAGTGAAGAGCACCAGCTTACAAATATTGCTAAGTTAATATGCGTATGCTGTGGGACTTGTAAGAAGATACAGTACATCTTTTGCATTTTGGCTACCTTAAAGCTATTTAAAGTGTCTGAAAGATACTATTTCTGGGCAGTCTCCCAGAGCCTTACCAGTGTACCTCTGTAAAGTCCACATCCAGCTCCAAATATGAAAAAATAAATAAAAATCAGTTATGTTTCCATATTTCACAGATTCAAAAGCTTTTGAGGAACAGAAGTAAGCCTCAGAAGGTGCTGGAAGCTGGGAGAAGAATAACTAATCACTTCTGAATTTAACTGTCAAATCCAAGAACCTAGTTACAGTAGGATTGTTCTGTTGGCAATGGAGAGAACTACAATTCTGGGGGGAAATTCAGATGTTAAACTTTCTACAAGGACTGTATTACAGCTGAACAGTGACGCTTCTAACTCAAGCATCTCAGGTAGCAGGAATTCCTGCTTCCTCAGTTCTTTTTACTCTGTTTCTGTAGAGAAACAATCACTTATCTTCTGTGATTCTTTTTCATTAATTTGCATCAACTTAAGAAAAGCAGTACAGAAGCACTAATAACTAGACTAGTAACCACAAATCACAGATCAGGAAAGAAACCTCAACACAAAACCATCACCATGTAGTTTATTTCAGATGTGGAAATTATACAATGTGAATATTGCTGTCCCATAGGAGAATACGCCAACATTTGAACTTTTGTTTCACACACTGTATAAGCAATAGGACTGTGATCAGGAAAAGAAACTTAACAGTAATCCCACTCTCAGAAATCCTCTGGAGAACTTGCTGCTGAGAAACTCTATCCTGAAGGCTGCCAGAAGCTCTAATCAGCTAATATATCAAAGCTCTGATGTAGTCTGCCTACTCCCCCGATCTCAGCAAGACATAAAAATAATTCTCATGGGTCAAACTACAAACCTAAGAATAAGCGAGAAAATATGCATTACTACACTCTGCAAGACTGTGAGTGATCAAGATGATGGCGATCAAGACAATGCTTTGATGCTGCATCCAATACATTCTCACATACATTTCAGATTCTGTGTCTCTTGAATTTAGCATCGGCACAGAAAGCCAGAGGTAAATGGAGGCATGGTGCTTACTTCCGTGCTTTATGCCAGGCAGGCATGCTCACATTTTTTGCCTTTGTTGGGATTCAAACAGGGTAAACGGTTGCTATAACAAAGGAGCTAATTTTTTTCATGGGGTGAAATGGTAAACTAGGTTTTTAGAGTCAGGAGACATTTCTTCCTCTTCCCATTACCAGGCTTGAAAAGGTCACACAGTACCAGCCAAGGAATCACTATCAGCATCAGGCTTAAGGAGTGCATGTGACTGTTGCTGTACAGCAACCAGCTCCTTCTCACTGGTTTTACACAGTTTCTCAGATGTGGAGAGGGATTATACCCCTGATTACACTTTCATTTTCATAAGTCCCTCTGAGTTAACTTTCTGAAAATACCATTATTCAGCTAACAGCAGAAAGAAACAAAATAGGACTACTCCCTGAAACATCACCTTTCTTTCTTTGTGTCTTGCGCAGAATGCATAACAATTTCAAACCTAAATGCCCAAGAGGGAACTAGCTTTCTTCTTAATGTGGAGTATATGATTAACCTCGGTTTTCCTGAAGCCATCAGAATACTGGAAAGCAGCCACTTCTGGAGCATTTGTACCCAAGTGCTTGAGGATCATCTCCCATCCAGAAAAAGTAACAGGTAACAGTCATAGGATGGTCTGTATGAATTCTTCAGTCTTCTTAGGCACTATAAACCCCCCCCCCCAGAATTCAAGATAAGTGCAGATGCCCTTCTTTAAGAAAGCTGCTAATGCTAAGGGCTCTAATGGGGTTTTGTGCGCGTTGTTTTTTGTTCTTATTGTTGTTGTTTCGGGGATTTCGGTTTGTTTGTTTTTTACCAGTGGCAGAATTTCCCTGTCAGGTGTTTACATCGAGACAGCGCCATTATCCCAAGTTGGATGCTGGTACTTGTACACAGGAAACATTACTTTCCTAAACAAGTAGCCAGCCCTACAACTTTCACTGGGGCTACTTTTAGAAAATATTATTGCTCACTTGAACTAAAGCAACCCTGGAATATCCTGTCTGAACATGTGGGACTGCAGGAGGCAATAGGTCAATAACCTTTGATGTATTTTACATAACAGATCAAATAGCTGTAAATTGTCCCTGAGGTGGCCAAGGTTAAGTTGGATAAGAGCAATGGCTGTGGTCATGCAGAGCTTCAAGACTCTGTTTCAAGTCCAGGCTTTTTGGAAGCCAGTGATAAAATACTGGAAAAAAAATGCAAAATGTTTCAGATAATTAGAACCATTTATTCAGTGGGAAAGAGCATAAACTGCATTTTCTTAAGGAAAAGCAAATGTAGAAAGACTACTACTAGCATGGTTGGACTCCAAAAGCACATCTTCCCTATTAAGGTTAGATGATTCCCATGTGGGTAGTAGACAAAAAGACTCTTGTTGGTCGTTTGCTATTTACGCTTATTTACTGCATATAATGAAGTGTGGCGTAAATGAAAATTAATTGGTATGCTGCAAAAGTTTTCTTAGTAGATATTTGTGTGGTCAAAGTCTTGTAGGGGGCTTGCAATAAAAGTTAATTCTGGGGCAACCTTTGCTTTGCATAATGAGAGCCTAAACGGCTGGAGGTCTATCTGAAATCTGGATGTAGCACTCCAGCAGCTTGAGGACCATCTGCAGTTACTTTCATTCATGTCTTCCTCTTAATCATCTTAAAGATTTAGCCAATATATCATCCAGTGGAAATGCTAAAATACCATGAGCCATAGATTCTGAATTAGCAATTCCTGCAACACATCAGTAATTTATATTTAGTTTATAGCAGCACTTTTAAAAGCATCTGTTTAGAAAGATGTCCAGTTTAGATTAAGACATAATGAGGCAGTCTTTTTAACTAATTTGAAAATTAGTTCAAATCTTTGTCCAAATACAAACGAAACTGAACATGAACACTTCCGGAGCACTGAGGAATTCAGTCACCTTCTTTATGCTGTTTCTCTTCCTCTACATGTGCTCATAACTAGAGACATCTCGGATGAAATCTAGATGTAAACTCTCTGGATCTGAATATCCTGTCTCAAATGGTACAAACCACAGTCCCAGATCCAAGCATCCAAGGCAAAAAAAAAAAAAAGACAATTGGATCCCAGTGCAAATCCTGGGAAGCTCAAGGAGTTCTAAACCAGCTCATTGTGAGCCAGCAAAGGGTGATCTCAGACTTGAAGCTGAGCTCTGACCCATATATGAGCTCTGGATTCCTGGGTTATTTGCACAAATCACTCCTTATAAAGCAAGTTTTTATCACATTTGGGTTAGAAAGGAGCATGCAGAATCCAAAACACAGCAGTCCCAGAGCAAGCACAAGGCATAACTGGCCCTGCAGGACACAGAACCTCTCATAGGCCAGTTATGGGAGGAGGCAGGACGGTCACTCTCCCACCCAGGAGCCATCTATATACATGTACCACTAAACTGACTGTGCACCTTCAAAACCGTGTAAACAGAAGAGTACTATATACCACTCAAATAACTAGACAAACAGTAGAGGTATTTATTTCAGAAGAAAGCCAAAAAATAACCTTTATATCCAGAGATCAAATGCGGCGGCATTCTTACATACTTCAATTATGGTTCTCACTTCTGACCTGACAAATTCAGATGAAAAATTTAACGGCAAAAAAGGGATTTTGCCACAGCAAAAATTTTCAGTTCTCAAAATTATGTGTTTCAAAACCTACCTAGAAATTATTTTAATTGAAAAAAAATTGTTGAAAGTGTTTGAATAATAGTTAAGGTATCTTCTTTTAGTAGGTTTTGCTACAGCTTCCCTACTAACCCTCACTGGATTTTAGCAACTCACTGGTACGCCCACAGCCAGCACCTTCTGTCTGTCTTGTAAGTTCAGCTCATTACCAGGCCTTATCACTTGGCCAAGATCATTTCTTTGAGGGTTCAGTCCTGCAAATTACTGATAGATACTCTGGCCCCAGCCTACAAAGTACTTGGGCAGACATTTGGCTTCAGTGAAACTGCTGATGGAGTTAGAGTTAAGACTTGAGTATTGTTTTGGATCAGGGCCAGAGTAGGTTTTTGGTTTCAGTATTAAGTCCTAAATCTCCCTGCAGAAGTGATTCAGTTCCTGTTCTTTTACTCATTGTTTTGTTTCTCTGAATTTCTTCATTTGCTTTTATCTTTTGGATGAAAACCAAGGCCTAAGGCCCGACTCACTCATACATTGCTGCTCTTTTACACAAGCATAATAACTTCAATGAAGTGTCTTAAATCTGAGAAAATGATTATATGGGTGAATGGATGTGTTTATGCACTGCTGGTTTCAGGCAGCTGGTCACTAGGGAAAAAAAGTCTTACTTTTTGTAGATCCTACTGTACAGTTGCATAAAATTATACAAAGTATAATTTTTCTCCCCTTTGTGATGAGGGATTAAAAAAACCCACAGGTTCTTTGGCAACAAGATAGGCACAGGCTCTTCCTGACAACAACCATAAACCAAGAGGGCTTGAAAAAAAAAAAACCAGGGCAAAGGAATTAAAGTCCATTAATATATTTCAGTAAGTTTTAGAGACCCACAAGGTTATGGGAGATGATAAACTTTTAGATGCAACAAGTCTTTCAAAAACATAAATTCACAATATTTCTGGCTAAATTCACTGGGTCAGAAATCTGTGGTATACTAGGGAATAAATTCTCATTCAAGTATGAGGTGTTGGAAAATTCTGTTTTCTATTACTCTAGTTGAATTCAAAACATGTCAGCCTTCACAGTGCTCTAGTCTTCAACTCACATGCATTCTTACCATGTTTCCTCAGATTAAAATTATCTGACACATATTTCTGAATAACATAATGTCCACAGGCTACTTACTCCATCTTGATGGGCAAAATCTGCTCTTTTCCTGCCTCCTCAAAAGGATGGAGAACAAGAGAAGGAGTCTCTTGATTTCCATGAAGTTTCTCTCCATAGCTCTGACAGCAACTCAGTCTGAACTTCACCATGTGGATTTGCAGCTCACAGCAATTATTGCAGTTAAATTGAGCAGTAGAAAGTTATCACATCTCATTGCAAAGCTGGTCAAAACTTGTCTCAGACAGGCTGTGTAATAGAAAAACTGCATAAGAAGCAAAGCAAATCCTTTCAGAGTCAATCATGATTTAGGGAAAGTGCATCATCTGACAAAACCTCCATTCTTTATCAGCTGAACTACATCTTGCCTAATCTAACAAACAACAAAAGCAGTTCAAGTTAGCTTTAAGACAAAATGATCCTAAGCACACTGTTCCTACTTCCATCTCAGTAGAAGTGCTATAATTTTAGATATCTTGTATTTTTGCTGTAAATACAAATTGCTTCTAATGTAGTAAATAATTCACTAATCTTGTTTTGCTTTAATGTGTTGGGCACTTAGCTGGTCTTTTTCAAAGGGTTACTACTTGACTATCCTACAAAAACCAAGTGGTTATTGTGCAAGTGCACAATATTTCTGTGAGAAAAGAATACTTCTGGTTGACGTCAATATAATTAAGGATTTTTACACTATCCTTCAAAAAAGAATCTGCTTTGGTGGAAGTTTATGATATTTATGACATATTAAGTCTTTGTAAACATTAATATAATCTTGTGCATATCACTCCTTCAGGGTGTATTTTAACAAAAACATATGCACTGACACAACCTCCAGCAAGAAAAGCAAGCTGAGCTGGCCACTGAATAGGTGTATTTTAAGAGTTAGTGAAATATGTCGAGAACATCTCATTGCAGATCAGTGGTACCCTGAATAATTCAGTCGTTTCCACTGTCAGCACAAGTCCCCAGTTTTAGGAACAAGGGGGCTACATTTATACTAATTTGTGGAAACATTAGAAGATACGCTTCATGTTGCTGCCAGGTGGCTCCCAGCTGCCTTTTTGTGGAAGTGAGGCAGACAGTGACTGCGGGTGCATGCTGGGGTCTCGCCTTGACTTGCATCAAAATACATCTGGACATGCACTTAGCCTGGAAACCTAAAAACTATTTCCAGGTTCCGGAGCCTGGGTGTAGCTTAATTTAAGCAGAAAGTAAAGAATGGATCCCTAAAGGTATTTAGAAGTGTTAATTTCTATTAGTGTTCTTTTAAGAACTATAACTAAATATCTGATTGTCCTCATGTCCCTTCCTACAGGTAAATGTTGCAGAACACTGCTGTGGCACCTTTACGAGTTGCAACTCCTTCAAAGAATGCTGCTGCCTTCCATAGCAACTGCAGTTCCCAAACTGGTTCAAATTGTCCCTCTGACATGGTTTAACCCCAGCTGGCAACTAAGTACCATGCAGCTGCTTGCTCGCTGCCAGCCCCCTCAGTGAGATGGTGAAGAGAATCAGAAAAAAGTAAAACCTGTGGGTTGAGATATGAACAGTTTATAATGGAAATAAAAGTAAAATATAATAACAACAACAATAGGAAAAAGAGGGAGAGGAGTAAAACCCAAGAAACCCAAATGATGCTCACCATTCACTGTCGGATACCCAGCCTGACCCAAGCAGTAATCAGTGGCTCCCATCCAACCTCCCTCAGATTATATACTGAGCAGAATGTTGTACGGTATGGAATACCCCTTTGGCTAGTTTGGGTCAGGTATCCTGTCTCTGCTTTTCCCAGCTTCTTGTGCCCCTCCTCAAAGACAAAGAATGAGAGACTGAAAAGTCCCTGATCGGGGTAAGCGCTACTTAACAACTACTTAAAACATCAATGTGTTATCAGCATTGTTCTCATAGTAAATCTAAAATGAAGCACTGTACCAGCTACTAAGAAAAATATTAACACTATCCCAGCTGAAACTGGGGCACTCTGTTTAGAAAGTATAGTATTATTACAGCCTTCTGTACAGATTCAGATCAAACACCTATTTTGTGTGCTGTTTACATACATTATATAAAAAAAAAAAAAGGCTAAAAGAACTTAGAATCATACAATAGTTGGGGTTGGAAAGGACCTTAAGATCATTTAGTTCCAACCCCCCTGCCATGGGCAGGGACACCTTAACGCTAAACCACATCACCCAAGGCTCTGTCCAACCTGGTCTTGAACACCGCCAGGGATGGAGCATTCACAACCTCCCTGGGAAAACCATTCCAATGCCTCACCACCCTAACAGGAAAAAATTTCCTTCTTATATCCAATCTAAATTTCTCCTGTTTAAGATTTAACCCGTTACCCCTTGTCCTATCACTACAGTCCCTAATGAAGAGTCCTTCCCCAGCATCCCTATAGCCCCCCTTCAGATACTGGAAGGCTGCTATGAGGTCTCCACGCAGCCTTCTCTTCTCCAGGCTGAACAGTCCCAACTTCCTCAGCCTGTCTTCACACGGGAGGTGCTCCAGTCCCCTGATCATCCTCATGGCCCTCCTCTGGACTTGTTCCAACAGTTCCATGTGCTTTTTATGTTGAGGACACCAGAATCGCACACAATACTCCAGGTGAGGTCTCACAAGAGCAGAGTAGAGGGGCAGGATCACCTCCTTTGACCTGCTGGTCACACTCCTTTTGATGCAGCCCAGGATAGGGTTGGCTTTCTGGGCTGCGAGCGCACACTGAAGCCGGCTCATGTTCATTTTCTCATCAACGAACACCCCCAAGTCCTTCTCTGCAGGGCTGCTCTGAATCTCTTCTCTGCCCAACCTGTAGCTGTGCCTGGGATTGCTCCGACCTAGGTGTAGGACCTTGCACTTGGCATGGTTAACTTGAACAATATTAAATGCCAGAATTAATCTATCCAAAAGGTTACTTACTTCACCTTCACTGCATGTATACTCAAGTGATACATTTCTTAATTATATGATGCAAACCATTATTTCTCCTTTGGAACACAGCCTTTTCCACCAAGCCTCACCCTGAAGGACTTTGCCATTGTTGCAGATAATCCACCTAACCAGCACATTCCTCCCACCAACATGTTCCCAAAGCTATTAAGACTAATTAACGCTATAAGTAACTAGCAAAACATGCCTACTGGCAAAGATCACTGCTTCAGGGATAGATTTCATAGTCCCTGCAAAAGTGAGCTCTAACCCACTGGCACCACTAAAGAGCAGTACCGCTGCAAAATACCTAAATCAAGGTCAAAATTCAGCCCACCTGTCATCAAAGCCAGGCTGCCTGCATGCTCATACGCCCGCCCTTTCCTAGATGAGCTGAGATGGTACAGTGGGACCCTCTCCCTTATTTCTGCCCCTTTTTATGAGCTGCACAAGGGATGGGGGAGGATGAGACTTACCGCTTTTGCAGGGGAAAATCTCCAGCAGGAACTCGTAGGCCCACGCAAGAGTCCCATAGTGAGAAAAACACCATGTACTCATGTTTGCAGTCATTAATATGAAGTAAAGAGAAGTTGGAAATCTGATGCACTATGAAGCCATACCACTAAAAGCTGTATGAGCTTTTGTTACTTGCCTTCAGAGAATCAATTTTCAGCACATTTCTGCAGTCTGTATATTCTCCTAATATTTGGAAAACATTGGACGTTTTACATTCTCAAAACTTTTAACACCGACATCCACGTCTCCAGAATAACTAAGGAGACAATGAATTAGGCCTCTTTCAACAATGGAGAGACAGACAACTTTGGACACATTTGTATTTACCTGTTTTGAAGGATCAGTGACTAAAAGGAAGAGCATGTCCTTACAGAATACCTGGTAATTGTTTTTCCAACTGAAAGAAGAACTAGTATATTGCTAGAGAAACAAGGAGCTTTAAGTCCAGCATGACTAGACTAAACTTTTTAGCTGTGGGTGAATCTTGGAAAGCAAAGTTTTTATTTGATGCCTATATTGTATAATTTCTGTGAATTGAGAATACTCCAGGCCACTCAGCTTCTATTACAAATCTGCTCATGGGTTTAGCAATTTATACTTTTCAAAGAGAAAGTGAAAAAAGAAAAAAACCCACCCTTTTATCCTAGGAAGCTACGCTACAATTATTTTTATTATTTACTTCATTTATAGGCTACTGAGTATCTTATAGCCTATAATTAGCCACTAGTGGAAAGTCTTCCTATGCATAAACAATGTCAGCCTTATGGCAATTAGTGCTATCTTTAGATAATCTATGAAAAACGTTTTTCCTACTCATGCCAGAAAATGAGACCTCATTTTTAATGATACAATGATCATTATCATTACAATCAACTCATGTAAGCATACAATCAACAAAAAATAAATAACTGCATTGAGATACATAAAATTCAACTCAGACCACAGAGTACTAGAATAATTCAGGTTGGACGCCACCTCAGCAGGTCACCTAGCTCAGCCTTCTGCTAAAAGCAGGCTCAGCACCGAACACAGACCTGGCTGCCCACAGCATTCTTCAGCTGTGTTTTAAAAGTTTGCAAGGACAGAGTCCACAACCTCTCTGAGTAGCCTTTTCTAAGTCTGAATGTCCTCAGCTTAAACATTTTCCCCCTTTATGTCAGCTGGAAACCCACAGCACCCATCCAAGTACTGACTTCTGGGATCTAACTCTGCTGAGCTCCAAGTTCAGACAAGCTCCAGAGTATTCAGGCGTATGTGACCACATAGGACGATGTTGAATAACTCATAAATTTGGTTGTCATCCTTACACTAGGATGTGCTAATGTCTATACTCTTCCAAATTTAGTATATGCATGCTAAAATAAGCCACAATCAAAGCAGTCACTTTACCTGCTCTGTAATCCCCTAATCTGTACCTGTATCACCTAACCATGGGCTAACAGACCATAGATATTGTGCCTTATTTAGTCCATGACAAAAAAAGAAGATAAAAGTTATGATTCCTTTCTAAAACAATGAGTGCATAGGTGAATTCTACCACCCAATAGACTAGGTATCTAGAAATGAGAATATCCTTTCTGCATTTCAGTGATTGTTACAGTCATTGCAGAAAAACCTTAGATGTAGGACCTTGGATTTAATGGTGGTGCTTAAATGTGAATATTGTTGTCTGAGACCAAGTGCACCAAGCAGAAAGGCTTTTAGTAAATATAATTCAAACATAGTCACTGAAACCCTATTATAAACAAGCTTTTCCAACCCTTTTTTTCAGATATCCCCAATTCATTGCACTTGATTAACAAAGCTTTTCAGAGTTAG